GAGAGAGAGAGAGAGAGAGAGAGAGAGAGAGAGAGAGAGAGAGAGAGAGAGAGAGAGAGAGAGAGAGAGAGAAGGGAGCAGCGCCTTTTCGGAAGTCATCAGGCGCTTTTAGGGAGAGGGACATAAATGACACTCCCGGCGTGACCTGCTTATCACATCCAGAATATTGCTGACTTCTTTCCCTCTCGTCTCTCTCCTTTCTTCCGCTTCTCAAGCGGGAGCGACTTTCTTACGCTTCTGAAGCGCTAAAGAACCCATTCTTGATCCCTCCGCTCAGCGGCGGCTCTCTGTCCCTTCAAGAAGGAACATCACAGACGGCAACAATTTTTTGCGCAGGAAAAGTTTCATGGTTCTGCTCCGTTTGCGCGGGAAATTTCGATAGTAAGGAATGAAATCGAACGCATACGACTCCCTCTTTCTACCTTCGCGCTGCTTTTGATGTGGTGCTGTTAACGCGATGATGAATTTGGTCACGACCTCCGCGAAGGCGGGAAGAAATGTGACGCTGTCGTACGTATTTAGAGGTCAGGAGGAAGAAAACATGCTATTGGAGGGTAAGGAAAAGTACGACAACCATGTTGTTGGGGTGAGAGGCGAGTCGAGCTCAACATACCCACCTGCCCTGGTGGTTGTTGCTCCTATCCGCGAGCCGCGCTCAACGTATCCACCTTCCCTGGTTGCTCATGATCTGCGTATCGGCGAAATATCCCCCCCTCAGATGGGTGATTTCTGTGTAGAGAGCGGTGAGGGATAATCACCCGTCTTGACCAGAATAGAACGCCCGGTAATTAAGGCCGTATCTGGACTGAAAGCTGCATCAAATACAGCTATAATGACCGGGCGTTCTATTCGGGTGAAGACGGGTAGTTATGATAGTAGAAATGCTGCAAGGATGGGGATGGTCTCGGTGGGTGGGAAAGCTCGAGGAGAACTCCAGTTTCTCACTGAGTGCAAAACAAAAAAAAGAACTTGCGCGGGAAGGGAGAAGGCGGCTTGTTTGTGCCATCCAGAGGATGATGATGATGATGATGATGATGATGATGATGATGAAAAGGTACCCATATTTTTTTCAGGCTGTGTGTTTCTACGGTAAGTTCTACGTAACTTCCATTGAAGTCTCACTTTACTTCCTTGATCCCCATTAAACTGTTCACTTAACTTCTTCTCTATCCCCATTGAACTCTCACCTCACTTAAGTCTGCGCACTCAACTCGCGCTCAATTTGCATTCAACTCGCACTCAGCACCTCGTTCTCAAGGCCTCGAACTCAGCACTTCGCAATCAACACACGTTGCACTCAAGTCCTGCTCAATGCCTCGCACTTAACTCAACGCCTCGCACTCAACTCAACGGCTCGCACTCAACACCTC